GGAAGGTGAATTGTGCCTAGCGGCCATAGGCTATGGCCGGTGAACCCGACCAGCCTCCCTGTCGTGGGCCGTAGGTTGTCTTTCCAGCGATCTGGGAGAAGCCGGAAACAGTGCTCATAAATGATGTCCGCCGAACTTCCTGTGTCAACGTAGACCGTGTGTATGATTATATCCCTGATGGAGGCTTGGATTACCAGTGGGTCGTCGCCCCTCCATCCCTCCGGGCGAGGGTCTTGAACAGAGAATGTGAGCGTGCGCATCGGGGTTCTGGTGGTCCCTTGTTCCGTTTGTTGCTCTCCCCTGCTTCTCGTACTCCGTATCATGAATATCTCCTTAGGCTGGACTCCTTCGTGAGGTATGTTTTTAGCGTTTTCAGCGTCAAACTTGGCACGCAAGCTTCGTGCTATTTCCACCAGGTCCCCTTTAAGCTGCTTCTCTTCCATTTCTTTTTTTAATACCGAACAGTTAGCTGTGTCATGCGTCTTACTTTTGTGGTAATCGCAGTACCGGTTCTTTGGCGATTTGGCTGGCTGCTGCTTCTCCGACACCGTGTACACTTCCGGGCGACGGCCACGCCTGTCATCCTTGGCAAACGGTCGGAACCGAGCATGTGGTCTCCTCGCTTGGCCGTAGTGCCTACTTCCCCCTCGGAAATCCGTGTGACCCGGGTTGTGGTGTCTGGTAGTCATTGCATTCAAGTAGGCCTGTTTTGCTGCTTCGCCATCCTCCTGTCTCAAATATCGCTCCACCCTTTCCTTCAATTCGGCCTGTGTTAGAGGCTTCTTTCCCATGAGTTTTTGCGATAAAGGGGCTGGCAAAAGCCCCCACGTGAAGGCACCGGCTATGAGCCCCTCATCATCCCCCGGTACGTCTAACGTGGCGTTTATGAACCTTGTGAAGTATTCCCGTACAGTTTCACCCTCCTTTTGCTTACAGCCTATGATTGAATGAGAGTCTCCCTTGTACTTGCGTAATTGCATAAAGTTGGTAAGAAAAAGATACTTAAGCTGGGCAAAATTGGAAATGCTGCCCGGTTGTAGCGTCTTGAACCATGTGCCGGCGTTGCCGTCGAGTGTAGTTGGGAAATACGTGCACCAAAACCTTTCATCAAGCTTTAATGACGTCATGGTCCATTCATATGTGTCGATGTGGCTATCCGGGTCAGTGGTGCCGTTATACGTCTTGAGCGTCGGTAGTTTGGCTGTGTTTGGTATTTCGTAGTCCAACAACTCTTTGACAAACGGAGACGTCACACTAGGGAAAGGCATTCGTGGCCTGGGGTGGTGGATGCTCCCGTCGGTTGGTATTGTGTGTTTAAGCCATATGGTGGCGGCGTGTGGTAGCCAGGGCTTGGTCCGTAAAAGGGATACGGCTGGAGTGGTAGTTGGAGGGGGTAACTGGAGGGGAAAGGGTGTATAGGGTTCATAGGGCTAACTGTTGTTGTCTGCTGTAAGTTATTGTTAGCGGTGATGGTTGGTCCGGCCCATATGCCGGCCAGTGAATAGACATGTGGCGGATGAGCTATCATGGTTTGTCCCAACGGTGGTACTGAAAGCATTGAACTCTGCCCGCTTGTCACCTAGTACGGCGGTGTCGCTGTAAACGACAGTGGGATGTTGAAGACGTGGCCTGGTGGAATCATCGCTGAGTGAACCGGTTGTGTTTGTTGCAATGGTGGCACGAAGAACGGTGGCATTTGAAAGGACGTTGTTGGAAATGGCCCCGCCGGAGTTGTTCTTGGCTGGTGAACTGGCAGTTGTGGGGCACCTTCAGTGGTTACCGTTGAGCTTCCTTCGCCTGTAGCGACCCTGCTGACCGCTGTAGGCGGTGGTGTTTCGTCCAACGCTGCCATGAGGCGTATGTGACTTGCCTGTTGTCCCTCACTGCCGTTGGACGCCATTCACTTGTCACTTTCGTGCTTTTAGTTTGTGTTCTTGATCTCACAAACGGATGGCCCCAAATGATGCGACCTTGGACTGGCTCGATCGGTATTGTTCACTTGGATTCTCGATTGCCTCTGCAAGATCACAAAGAAAGAAGGCCGTCAGCCGCTTTCCGGGAGGAGCTCCCGGAAGAACGCTCTGACGGTCAAGTTAGAGAGTGTTTAGGATCTTTGGGTGTGCGCTCTTAGAGAGTCCAGAGAGCTTACCTCGTAGGTCTGAGAGCGTATCCTTTTATACCTAGCTCCCTTGCCTGATCCGTACCAGACAAGATCGCTTTTTGGGGAGACAGGATCAGGGGCGCTGATTGGAGAGTCATGTGCCTTTAACCGTTAGGGCGCTCTTATTGGCTCTGACGGTAATGGTCTGATCCTCCTGCTTGTCTCCTGACCGTTTCTTTTGTCTTGGAGCTGGGAGCGTCTCTAGGCGGGCGCGAGCCTTTCGCCTGTGCGTTCCGCTCCCGAGGGCGCCAGCGGACGCTAAGCCTACTGGGTTGGGCCCGGTTGGCGTGTTCGAGCCTTTCGCCTCTGCCTTCCACTCCCGGGGGTGCCATCGGACGCTAAGCCTGCTGGGCTGGGGCCGGTTGGCGTGTCCGGCTCGTGCTTCTGCCGTGCTGCCCTAGGCACGTCATCAGTACCGGTTAGAAACAGATCTTGGTAAAGATCGACATTTGTGATTATTTTTCCTTTTTTTGTGTGGTATAGTTGAAACTCTCTCTCTCTCTCTCTCTCTCTCTCGTTTTAGATTACACATCCACACACACCATATTTTGTGGATTTTGGGGTATTTTGGTTGGTTGACCAAATGTATTTGTTGGTTCTTTAACAATTTTCGTGTTGATGTGCATGTCAACACTCCATTGATTTCTTATTCTTAGGTGATTTTTCCAACCTTATGTTATTGGCTCACATAAATTTACATTTTTATTCGCAACTAGCATTGATCAGTCTTTGTATGATTCTGCAGCAGATCTTGAATTCGGTTGTCAAGAAAATTTCCAAAGTGTTCTTGATGGTAATTTTATTTCATATATACTCAATTCTCATTTTAACATGCAACCTTGTATATTTTATCTCACGAAGTTGTATAAAAATAACCAAATATGATCGCTCCAAAGCCACCATGGAACTCCTCTTTCTTTCCTTCCTTGCTCTGCCTTTTGTTTGTCCTCCTGCTACCCTATTTATGTTCTATTTGTATCACAGATACATCCACTTATATTGGCTGATTCAAATGTTTTACTACCTCGCTCATCTTTTGTTTTTTTTTTGACAATCTCTGACATCCTTCAACATACTTTGACCGGTTTGAAAAGAAAAAGACCAAGAAGGTAATCTTCAAAGGGGCGTTGGGGGGGGGGGGGCGGGGGAAGTGGGTATCTGCGTTGCGCCCAATTTTTTTATTATATATTTTTATTTAAAAATGAAAAATTATAATAAAGATAAGAGCCATTTTTTTCTTGCTTGTCGTAGGCCTTTGAGGATATTTAATTCCTCCGGACCGGCCTTGGTAATCTTTGTTGGGAATTCCTTTTACCTTATCAATTGCTTTGTTTTATGATTTTTGTTATATATATATATATATATATATATATATATATATATATATATATATATATCTTACCTACTGTTTATAACCTGGCATTCGATAGTTTTTTTTTTTAAATTAATTACAAGAATGGGTTGGATGAAGATGTTTGTAATCTGCCTGTATGACTTGGCTCTTAAATCCATGTTTGTTCTTGCTCCAAAGATAACTTCATTATGTAGTAAAGACTTGAGATCAAATATAGTTTATTTTCATTTTGTTTCTTTTTCTTAATTTCTAATTGAAACATGTAATAAAAATGAGAAGCTAAACCTTTTGTGCGATTACTATATCTATTATCATATAATATTGAATATCTGCATATTTGGTTATGTAAGATCGTAAGCTTGAGTAAGTTTTTGTAACAAATTTACATGTGTGTTTTAATGGATTTTGACATAAAATGAGATTTAATGGCTATTTATATTGAAAATATTAAAAGTACAACTTCTAACCCCTTGAGGAACTATATTGCAATCACTACTAGAAACATGGGTTTTAGAGACGGACGAATTCGTCGCTATTCCGTCGCTAAATGTTGTTTGCGATAGATCAGCGACGGATTCACTCCATAGGTAATTAAAACGTGGCTAATTTCTCAGCGAGGGTTTTAGCGACGGATTGGTTTTTCCTTGCGACAAATGTAGCGACAGAATATCCGTCGCTAAATGTCACTCAATACATTTACTCAGGCATTAGTGACAAAATTTGTTAAAGTCATTCCGTCGCTGTTCTGTCGCAAATTTCCGTGATCAGCTTTTTTTTTTCCATAGCTAATCCCTTGCAAAATTCATATACTAATTTTTTTTTCCGTCGCTGATATGTCGCAAACTTTAGACATGATTTTTTTCCATAGCTAATCCCTTTCAAAATTCATACATTAAATTTTTTTTGTTCCGTCGCTGATCTGTCGCAAACTTTAGACATGATTTTTTTTTCTGTAGCTAATCCCTCGCAAAATTCATGCATTAAAATACTTTTTTCTCTCACCTATCCGTCGCGAACTTGTAATATCATTTTTTTTATTATGATTCTAAAAGAAAAATACTACAATCATCAAATTATTATACTAAAAAACATCAAATAATGATAGAACCAAACATTACAATACCAAAACTATCAAAGTTTACCAAAGTATCATTCAAAAAACATCCAAAAACAAAACTGTCCACATAACATCAAACTCCCAACGGTTGAGAACATTTTAACACCAAGAAATCCAAAGTATGCAAAAGATGTACAAACAGAAAAAAGTTTAACCTTCAAAATAAGCATCGGGAAATGAGTTTTCACAAAACATAACTTCAAAATAACATTTTAGCTGCTCTCTTCATTTCATGTTCATCCAATCATCTTCGGTTCTCATTCCTATAAAACATTATTTAAAACAATCAAAAACATCAAATACAAAAGGTTAACAAGTCATTCAAAAACATTAAATACTAATGGTTAACATCATATTACCTCTAATTTTCAATTTCCCATCATATTTTGCAAGGTTGCATACATCTTCTCCATTGCTTCATATTTTGCATCAATTTGTTGTTGTTTGGCATCTATTGCTGCAACTTTGGCATCCATTTCCTCACGCATTTGTTGATGTTTAGCTTCCATTTCTGTAGCTTTAGCATCCATTTCCCCACGCATCTCGTTTCGTACACGTTCATAGACAACCTAAAGTACAATGCCATGATATGAAACTTTGTAAGTACAATGCTATGATAGGAAACATAAACTTACAATAACATAACTCAAGTATCTGCTCTGAAACAAATCAATTAGTCTGGCTTTTGGGAGCCTTTCCGGTGTTTCTATATATTCCTGTGAAAAGTTGCAAGATTTTGATAATTGATACCCCTCTCAATTTTCATAATTCTGTGAAAAAGAAAAGGTTTGAAATGCTTACCCTGATTCCAGCTGCCTCTTCAGATACATCAATTTCCTCCCCACGAATTTTCTTTAGTGCAGCATTAAATTCCCTTTGTTTTCCTATCTTAGCCTGAATGCAATATGCATATCTTGCTCCGAATAATTGTTCCAATTTTCCACATGAACACTGGAAAAATGTCACACCCCCGAACCAGACGGCGGAAACGTCTGGGGGCTAGTGTGACTAGCAATTGAATAATCATCACAATGAATATACATGAAGCATAACACATTCATCACCAACATTACATATTACAAGCAGCATTGTTCACATCAAGTACATTGTTAAAATCCATAAGTTCAAATTGTTCAAAGTACCATAAGTGATGTTACATAAACAAAACCATACACTTGCATATCTTCCAGCTTATCGATTACCTGAGAATACAAGTTACTTTGAAAACGGTCAACATATATAATGTTGGTGAGTTCATAAGTATATTTGAGTAAAAGTCTTTGTATCTTTCATAAAAACCCAGAAAATCCGATATTTTCCGTAAAATGTTTTGAAAATGATGTGAAAATCGAGTATAAATGCATGTGTGAATTTAATAGATAAAACTTGTAAGAGTGTAGTTTAGATTCATTGTATTTTGAATAAATGATAATTGTATATGAATAATTTCCCCAGAAAATCCGATATTTTCTGTTTTATAACAACGTCTAAATTCTTGTATCGTTAAATAAGTCGTTTTGCATTAACACAATTAAAGAGTTTATCTTCAAAATGTTATCTTTTGGTATTGAATCCCTATATGAGCCGTTATAACCATGCATGATAATGACTAGGTCGCCCGTCTTGGTATTTTTCCAAATGTCGGTCTTGCTAAGGATGTTGTCGCCCTAGACTGACCTAGTCTAGGTGTAGAGAGCAGCTAAGGCGTGGGGGGTCACCCCGTATAGATCTATACACAAACTCCCGCTTTCCTACCAGGAAACTCTGATTATAACTACAGGCTACGATTGTACACTCAGTGGTGCCAACCGACAAGTCTCACTAGATTCTTAACCTCTTTTTGTACTGTTTAATGTTTAGTAAATGTAATATGTTTTTGTATTCGAAAGGTACATGATTAAATTTACGAAGTTTAATGATTTCATAAGGGTATCGTTATGGCTTACTAACACATGAAATTTCCATTTCCAAGCCCTATTAGTATGTAACTAGGCCACAAAGCCCCAATCACATGTAAAAGGGTAATTTAGGCCCAATAGGCATGTGAATGGGCCACAAAAGCCCAATAAACATGTAATCCATAACTTAGGCCCAAATTAACATGTAAGTGGGCCACAAGACCCAATAAACATGTCATGGAAAACATTGGGCTCATTTCACATTTAATTGGGCCCTTAGGGCCCAATGACCAAGAAATGTGAATATTGGGCCCAATAAATAGTTTTTTGACGTATTTCGTTCGCTCGTTTGATTCAATTGTTTGTTTTAGTTCGAGGCTTAATAGATTGATGATAAAAGCTTTCATTTTGTAAAAATGACATTTTTTGGCTAATAATACTCAAATCTTTAATTAAGGCCCAAAGTTTTGTAAAAATGGCACTTTAGTCCATAATTTATAAAAGTTTGCAATTTTGTCCCAAATGTCTATAAATTTACAGTTTTGACCCCAAATGTTATATTTTCACATTTAAAACCCTGTTTCGCAGAAAATTACATTTTAAGCCCCTTATTGGTAAAAGTTTACACTTTCGGCCCAAATTTTGGAAAACTTTACATTTTTGGTCAAATTTGAAAATAGATGATATTTTCACCTCTAAATTTGGTTTATTTACATTTATGACTCAAAATTTGGTCAAATAACATTTTTAAACCTCAAAGCCTCATTTTTTTCGCAAATTGGGCCCAAAGGCCGTGAGGCCCAAAGGTTTGGCCCAATAAGCTTAAATTTGCATTTTTGACCCCTTTAAAAGCATGTTTAGCATAAAAATACCTTTTTATACAGGTAGGACCTGTTTGGCCCTTTTAAAAACAGAATTTTCACTTTTTACCCTTATCTTTTGTTTTCTTGACAATTTTGACCTTTAACAAGGTTTTCGTTGAACTCTTTTGCATCTTAAACATGTGTTCACTTTTGGCTTGATAATATGATGTATATAGTGTTGTAGTTCTTAGATCTTTGCTACATAACACTTCAAATTTCGAGATTCACTAAGATCTAACACATTTTTACCAACTAAACTAAGAATTCACACAAAACATGCATATAACACATAGATCTACACATTTTACTTGTATTCTCCCCCAAAAATCATATGAAAACCGAAAACAAGGGGGGTATGAACTCACCTTTTCTTTGATGTTTCGGTTTTGAAGAGAAATGAAGAAGATTTTTGGTCCTAGCAAGCTTCCTTGAGTTGATTTCGAACTTAAGAAGTTTCTAAGGTGTTCATGGGGAGTAAAGCTGTGTAAGAAAGAGTTCTTGATGTTGAAATGAAAGAAGATGTTTGTGTTTGATAGCACTTACCAAAGATTGAAAACACTTGATGAAGATCCTTGAATCCAAGCTAAATTTTCGAGATTTTCTGAAGGAAGGAAGAGGATGATCTTTGAGAGTGTTTAGAGAGTGTTTGGAAGAGTGTGTGTGTGTGTGTGTGTGTTGTGGCTCTTGGCCGAGAAGAAGAAGAGAGGGGAGAGAGAGATGGTGAAGTGACTAGCATGGATGTATGGTGGTTTAAAGCCTAGATGTATGTTGGGTTATATGGAGGTGGCACTCCAAAGTCAAACCCCCCCTTTAATCTCCTCTTTTCTTTTTTCTTTTTTGTTTTATACATGGGCCGACATTTTGGGCCAAGAAGAAGTGGTGGAGTAGTTTGGGACCATTAACTTTATCTAGGACATTTGGATCCTAATCATAAGGTTTTTCGGCCCATTGGGCTCTTGGAAGCATTCACGGCCCAATTAGAATAAAAGAATGGGCTTATGGCTCACTAATGGTTAATTGGATTAGTTATGGCCCAATAAGGCCCATTAGGGTTAGAATGGATCATTCTAGACCCAAATGGTCCAAAATGTTTTAGATTTATGAATTGGGTCCAATTAGGATCCAATTAGGGCTTCTAAGTCCAATAAAGTTGAATTAGGTGCTTATTGGTCCATTAGGCCCAATAAGGAACTCCTAGTCCAATATGGACTTAAACCATGGATCTTAGGGCTTCAGACTCTTTGATGAACATGAATGGTGAATCTAAATGAGCATTGAGTGAGATTTACTTAGAGTATATGTTTTACAATAGTTGAATAGTTACACAGGAATATAATTTCCTAGCTAAAATGCCAGTTGTGACATCATCCCTCGGTTAGAGGGAATTTCGTCCCGAAATTCTTTTGAAAACTAGGATCGTGAAGGAAGGAATAAGTGAGGGTACTTCTGCTTCATCTGGTCTTCACGTTCCCACGTGAATTCCGGTCCGCGTTTCGCGCTCTATCGAACCTTCACGATCGGGATGCAACTTTCCTTTGTACGCTTCACCTCTCTATCCATAATCTCGATTGGTTCTTCAACGAACAGCAGGTTCTCGTTTAGCTTAATCTCTTCCAAAGGAACGACAAGGGTTTCATCTGATAGACACTTTTTCAGATTTGAGACGTGGAACACTGGGTGTACGTTGCTGAGCTCGACGGGCAGCTGCAGCTTGTAAGCCACTGGACCAATCCAGGAAAAGAATCTCGAACGGTCCAATATACCGAGGGTTCAATTTTCCTCTTTTCCCAAATCGAATCATTCCCTTCCATGGAGAGACCTTTAATAGCACGCGATCCCCGACTTGAAATTCTAGTGGCTTTCGCCGCTTGTCAGCATAGCTCTTCTGTCGGTCTCGCGATGCCTGAAGTCGAGCTTTGATTTGGACTATCTTCTCGGTTGTTTCACGAATGATTTCGGGTCCTGTAAGAGCACTGGCTTGCGATTTCCCTTTTGCTAGTTGAGTGTCACCCACCTCGGCCCAACATAGGGGCGATCTACATTTACGACCATAGAGAGCCTCGAAGGGAGCAACCTTGATGCTCATATGGTAACTGTTGTTATAAGAGAATTCGATTAGAGGCAAGTAGGCATCCCATGATTTTCTGAAGCAATCACGCAAGCTCGGAGCATATCCTCGAGTGTCTGGATGGTACGCTCTCACTGACCATCCGTCTGCGGGTGGTAGGCGGTGCTCATATCTAGCTGTGTTCCCATTGCCTTCTGAAGAGATTGCCAGAATCTTGAAGTAAATCTGCTATCTCGATCCGAGATAGTAGATACTGACACTCCATGGAGTTTCACGACCTCCTTGATGTAGATTCGGGTCAGCTTTTCCATCTTGTAAGATTCTTTTATTGGCAGGAAATGAGCGGATTTTTTCAATCTATCGACAATTACCCATATAGCATCCAATCCGTCTGCGGTCTTTGGCAATTTAGTCACGAAGTCCATAGTAATCCTTTCTCATTTCCACTCGGGTATCACTGGTTGTTGCAATAGTCCCGAGGGCTTTTGGTATTCCACTTTCACCTTGGCGCAAGTAAGACACCTGCCTACGAAAGTAGCTATCTCTTCCTTCATATTAGGCCACTAATATTGCTGCTTGATATCCAAATACATTTTATCTGACCCCAGATGAATAGAATACCGCGTCTTGTGGGCTTCATGCATGACTAACTCTCTGAATCCCCCAATTTTCGGAACCCAAATTCTATTCATGAAGTAGTGGGTTCCATCGTTTTTAACTTCAAGCTCCTTCTCCATTCCTCGTAGCGATTCACTAGCGACATTCTCTGGCTTCAATACGTCCAATTGAGCTTCCTTGATCTGTGAAGCCAGATGAGATTGGATGGTGATCGACATAGTCTTCACACGACGATTTGAATATTACTTTATGCTCAGGGCATCGGCTACTACGTTAGCCTTGCCGGGATGATATTTGATCTCACATTCATAATCGTTTAACAACTCAACCCATCTTCGCTGCCTCATGTTTAGCTCTTTTTGATTTAGAATGTGCTGGAGGCTCTTGTGGTCTGTAAAGATGGTGCACTTGGTACCATAGAAGTAGTGCCTCCAAATTTTTAAGGCGAAGACCACTGCCCCCAGTCCTAGATCATGTGTGGTGTAATTTACTTCATGTGTTTTCAGTTGTCTGGATGCATAAGCAATTACTTTCTCTCGTTGCATGAGGACACAACCTAAGCCCTGATTTGAAGCGTCACAGTAAACTATGAAGTCTTCGGTTCCCTCCAGTAAGGATAGCATTGGAGCACTACAGAGGGCTTGCTTCAAGGTCCTGAAAGGCAAACTCTTGCTTTTTGTTCCATTTGAAGGGTACGC